TCGTGGTGGCTCATATTCTTGAAGAAGTAAAGTATTTAATGGAAGCATCGACTCTGGTGGACTTAACGAATAGTTTTGATCAATTTTATCGAGCCATTGTAGAACTCTTTCATTCAATCCATTTGCGTTTGCTTTGATTTATTTTTTATTTTTAATCATATAATCTGGAACTATTGAATGATGTTGTCGTTGATCACCATATAATATTCGGTCGGCTCTCATTTGAGTGGAATCTGATGCAATTTGCACTGCATCAAAAGCATTCTGTATATCATCAATAATCTTTGATGAGTGACTGAGAAGTTTGAATTTGAAATTTTGAGCGACACATGCTTCCATACAAAGAATGATAACATTTAACAGCCTTTATTTGTTTCAATTTAATTATTGTGAAGTCATTCTGTTACATTAAAGAAAAACACAACAATATTACTTATTATCCGCGCCGAAACTTGATGATTCTCTAGAACAGATCTTCGATAGCATATATAATACAATAGTTTCTTCCCCTTTTTTTTGACAGAAATTCAAATAAAATATCGAAAGTACAATTTTTTTTCATCCTTTTCAGATTGACAAAATGTAGGATTCTCTTATATCTAATTTTCGCACCAAATATACTCCATGAAGTTATAAAATGTTCTTTTCCAGTTGTAATTATCTATAGATTTTGTTGATTCTTGTAATCTCATTCGAAAATCGTAAGAGAATTATTGGTTTTAATCAATGTTCTATTTTTTCAAAGTGAATTCTGTTTGATCACTGGGACAAATCAGATACAAAAACAATGGTTGAGTGTTCACGATCGACATTCGAACAAGTTCAAATAACAAAAGATTTTCAAATAATATTTTTTTTTAATTTTCTGTAGAAAAATAATTAGACCTAGGACAGTTCCATATCAGTTCCGCTCTTGAGAACTGTTCAAACAGTTCTTTGATAGGAACTGATCTGTCCAACCAATTCTTTTAAAAGAACTGATCTGTGCCTACCAGTTCTTTGATAGGAACTGGTCCGTCCTACCAGTTCTTTGATCGGAACTGATCTGTTCAGCCAGTTCTTTGATCGGAACTGATCTGTCCAACCAGTTCTTTGATAGGAACTGATCTGTTCAACCAGTTCTTTGAAAATGGCTACAATAGTCAGTTTTTGAAAAAGAATCGGACGCTTAATCCAGTTCTTTGAAAAAGAACTGGTTACAGTAACCAGTTCTCGAAAAAGAACTGCCGGGTGTGTACAGTTCTTAAAAAAAGAACTACCGGGTGTACACAGTTCTTGTCAAAGAACTGGTCACTTTAACCAGTTCTCGAAAAAGAACTGGTCGCTATACCCAGTTCTTAGAAAACATACAGTTCATAGAACTGGGAACTGTCCTAGGTCTAAAAATAATGATCGAACGGCTCGAATATGATCTTTTTTTGTTGTAGAAAACTTTGTTTCATATATGAAATGACAATGCTTTCGGCTTTGGAAAATTCATGGGAAAATATAAGAGATATGTTTTTCAAGAGCATCTAAAGGAAATTGAAGTTTCTATGCTTTAGATTAACTTCTGTCGTGTGCATTTATTTTTTTGTATGATGTTTATTTATTTTTCTCACTATGTTATTAGAAGAGAAGAAAAAGAACATGAATAATGCAGAAACACGCGCAAATGCCTCTTTATAAGTCAAAGCTTTCATTAAACATAAACTTCGTCTGGGTATTTTTTTTAGTGGGTAAAAGTGAAAGAAGCATAGAATGAAAGCAAGAAAGAAAAAGAATTTTCAAGGCCATCATCGCCATATAAAAGGAGAGAGAATGTTGTCTTCTGGTAATGGAATCGAGCAACAGCAGAAGCAGTAGTGTTAGTCGTGCAGATAGTGGTATTAGTTGTAACACTACTGCTACAACAGTTAATCCACGTTATGAGTGTCACTGGACGGACAATTGTCGCGGACAACATGAATTAGATGATTGCCCAGTGCGACTGCGTGAATTACGAGGCAAGTTGGGCATCTATTTTAGTCCAAATGCAAGCTTTAAACATTTTTCTCGTGATCATATGAACGATCTATCCTTAGAATCGAATCCAACTGGATGTACAATGGTTCATTTGTTAATTTATAAAAAGAAAAATAATGAAACTTGGTTACTATTTGTTACCAAATTTGCTAAACAAAAACGGCGAGACAACGAAGCTACACCAAACCGACAGATTTTATTAACATTACCATCATCAAATCCATGTATGAAAGGTGAATATCATAAAAATATAGCTGCAAGAGCATTGAATAGTATTACAAATGAAAGTGAAATAACAACAAATCTTCGACCACGTCTCAAACGTTTCTTATTTGTTGATGCTAATGCCATCTATCCATTATATTTAACCGATGAACAAGCAGATCTCTTAACAACTCATTTTTCTCCCAACGAAGAAGTTATTTCTCTTCATTGGTATCCTCTATCTACTGTCTTGAGTCAATTGCCAAATTGGGATGATTATTTGAGCAGACAAGCTGAAGGAAGAGAATTAGCTCAAGTACGACATGCTGATCATACTGGAATTAAGTTGAATACAGAAAATAACGAACATACAATGTGGTCAGTCACGGCAACTTGTCTAATGTGTATAAGAAATCTTGTGGGATTCGATGCATTTCTT